GTGGCGCTACCGGCCGGAGGAGCCGGGGTCCGGTGCCGGGCAGGTGCCGTACGAGCCCTTTCGGCTCCACTGGTGTCCTCGTCATCCCACGAGGGCGAGCATGGCCATGGGCATCGGGACAGGCAGCTCCTTCCTCCTCAGACCCGGGTGGCCCAGGAAAGAGATTCCTTTGTGTGATGAACTGCAGCCACCCAGGGCGGCTCCTCGGGCCATCCCCAAGCCCTGCTTTGCTGTACCAACAGAAGGCACAGGTGGGAATGACCGAAGGTGTCAGCCAGCCTCCTGTCTCTGCTTCAGCCCCGTCTGGCGGTGGATGCCCAAGAAAGAGAAGGAATCTCAAACACATCATTCTGATAATCCTCCTTTTCCACTGTTTCCAACTCCAAAACCATTACTAAACCCCCTAGTTGTTGTCCTAACGACTGCCTTTGTGCAGATCACTTATCCACCTTTTGACATCCCCTACACAAGTCTCTATAATCACAAGCAGCTGTCCATCACTGAAGTGCTTTTTTTGGCTAGGAGGCCCAAGGCAAAACATTGCCCAATATTTGTGTGCAAGAAGATTTTTTAAGAGAGGACTTACTACGTCATGTTTCAGCTTCCTTCATGATCGTCTTGCACAGTTGGGTCCCGGTTCCTGCTTGTACAGAACCTACCACAAGTTCATCTTTGCCCGCATTTCTCTTCCTTTCTTTAGTGACTTCAATCTAGCAGATTATGACTACCTGCCAGTATCTTCCGAAATCAAAGAACTCTTTGAGTACATCAAGAGGTGAGCTGAAGGGGTTTTAGCCCGCCCTTGGCTCTCCTTTCTGTCAATTGTTGTGGCAAGTTTTGCAGGACAGTTCATAATCACCCACGCTGTGGTGTTGTTTTTTTTTCAGGTACACTCCCAAAACAATAGAGATTGAGCACAAACTGCAGCCTTTTATTCCGGACTTTATTCCTGCAGTTGGAGACATCGACGCGTTCCTAAAGGTACAATTGCTTCAGGTTCCTCCGTACCTCCTGCCGCACGAGCCAAAACAGAACGTGGCATTGGCGCGAGAGGGGCACCGGAGGCCAGCCCGTCCCTGCAGCAGCGCGCACCCTTGCCCTGCGCTGTCAGAGATAACGTTCTAGAGACCTGGGAAACTACACTCAGCAGTGGTTCAGTCACCTCTTAAACAGCACATACGTAATTTGGGGCAAGGGCTGTGTTTGCCCAACACCTTGTGCTTTTCAGGTACCACTGTATTAACAACTCCTATTCAAGAGAGCACACCTACCAATTCCTTTTAGGGTCTGATTTTTAAACCGCAGGGAGGCTCTGTACAAAATAGCCCCAACTTTCCCCGCTTTGGACTCCCGTAGAAAACAGGGTTTATCTGCAGGTTCCCCGTCCCGATGGCAAGCCTGATAACCTTGGCCTGCTGGTCCTGGACGAGCCGTCGACCAAGCAGTCAGATCCCACCGTGCTCTCCCTTTGGCTGACAGAGAACTCCAAGCAGCACAACATCACAGTGAGTCGCGGAGAGGGAGGAGGCACTTGCTGCGCGCTGGCTGTAGCAAAAACATTGCATTTTACTCCTACCTTTGTCTGTGTGACTATAGTGTTGTAGCACAACTGATAACTTGGCTTTAAAAGCAGAAAAGACTAACCTTTTTCTTTAATCTATAGCTTTAAACTGCAATGGATCTAAGTCTTGCTTCAGGCAAGCCTTGGTACAGACTTTGGATCCGTTTCCATCAGGTGAAGCTTTGTTTCCTTTTGGTTGCCACTACCTGGTTTTACTCTGCATTTTGTTTCCCAGCTGCTCTTCCGTCTGCAGAAATCAGTTGGTATAGTGCAACTAGGAAAGAGAAAACGCACAGTTAATCAGGAGCAAACACAGGGTTTGCAAAAAACCCCAAAACACCACAAAGTGCTTCCAGGTTTGTATTTCTGTTTTTAGCAGCAGATAAAAGTGAAGAGTTTGGAGAATGCGGAAAAGAACTCCAAAGCCATTGACAGCTGGATTGAAAGTATCAGCGAACTGCACCGCTGCAAACCTCCTGCCTCGGTCCATTACACCAGGTGAGCCATTATGTCAGCTCTGCTTCACACACGCTCATACAGCGTAAGCTCAGGTCAGTGGGAGGCTGGTAGCAAAGTCTAGGAGCACTGAGTAAAACTATCAAAGCATCTCTGAGAGGGAGAAGACGTGATGATTTTCAGGGCAGTCGTACTATGCGTGTGTGCAGGACACACTCAG